ACGACAGCGACACTAACGAAGAGTACGTGGTAAGGTAAGTACGTACGAGTACTACGTACGTTACTTTACCTTCCTTCCTCTCGCATCGTACTATAAGTAACTACGACTCTCTCTCTCTCTCTCTCTCTCTCTCTCTCTCTCTCTGTTCTGAAATCTGAATGTATCCAGCTATCATTAAGCACAAACAATTGTCGTAATTTCTCTAAACTTCCACAGTCTGTATATGCTAAAATCAATGCAGATAATGAATACTCATATGGTTCAATCATGGATACAAGCAATATCCACCTCCTCTACACTTGAGCTAACCAAAACAATCTCATACAGGCCTATCAGCTACTGTGATATGGGAGCGGACTTGCTTGCCAAGATAAAAAGCCAATAATTCAGAAGAAATTGTGAGAGTGATAGCAAATATAAATGGGCCATTTCTCAGGCCCATAACGGGGTGAGACTCTTGGAAGACATAAAGCTTTTTTTGGCTGGCCGTGGTAAAAAAACCTATTCATCAATGCAGTAAAAGAAAATGGCTCCCATTCAAGAATTGAATGGAAAAGGGCCAGTGCTTCCACAAGTTGCCCACATTTTGCGAGGTCATGAATAATGGAATTCCATGTAAGAGTGAAGAGGACTGTGTTAAGAGACTGTTTCTGCAGCATCTGATCAAAATGCCAGTGATCATCTAACAAGCTACCGCATTTGACATACATTTGGAGGAGACAGATGTGGATCAGCAAGCCTGTGCCTTGTCTAGTTTTGATGAGATAAAAACATAGTCTCATTCCATGACAAAGTCATTTTTGGGTGGTGCAGGATAACAATATACAAGCTGATCTAAAGCGATCAATGAACATGTTAAGTATGGTACAGTGTACTTGTACAAAATCAAAGAGAGGCCCAAATTTCACAGCCATGACTTTTCAAGTTACATTGCTCAGTGTTTTATGCATGCAACTCAATCACCCAGACATTTTTCTTTTTCTTTTTATAGTATAACAGCACATATAGATCATCAATCAATCATCCAAACAAATTTGCACTTGCTTCATCTTAGTTCAAAGAATTTCGAAGCCCCAAGTCGGTTTCACAGGGAGCAGAATTAATGGGCTTTAATCCTATCTCATCCAATTCATGGAGGCGCTGTGAAGCCAGCTCCCCCAACCTTGTATCCCCATGATTCCTGCAACACTCGGAAACCAACATCCACATTGCTGGTGTGGGTTCAAAAGGCAATGCCCCAATAAAATCCTTGAGCTCATCCATGCAACCATTCCGACCAAAAAGCTCAACCATGAGTGCATAATGCTCCACTCTTGGTATAACACAGTGTTTCTCACTCATCGAATTAAAAAACCACCTACCAATATCAACCATTCCTTCACTTATACAAGCAACAAGAATTCCAACAAAGGTCACATTGTCCGGTTTCACTCCACTCTCTTGCATCAACTCAAATAGCTCAAGGGCCTCCTTGCCCCTTTTATTATGAGCACACCCGGAGATCATAGAGTTCCATAGCACTATATCTGCCAAGCATACCTCATAAAATACCTTGAGAGCATAATCGAGGCACCGGCACTTAGAATACATGTCTACAAGTGCCCCTCTGATAACTATATCTCTCTCGAGAAAAGTCCTTATTGTGTAACCATGGAGTTGTTTTCCATGCTGTAGAGAGAGAATGTTTGAACATGCAGCCAAAACAGTGCTGATAGTGAATTCATTTAGCTTCACATCTCTATCCATCTCCCCAAATATCCTTAGCGTCTCTTCACTTTGTCCATGTCGAGCATAACTAGACATGAATGAGTTCCAAGATACAATGTCTTTCTGAGCCATTGCAAAGAACCATCGATCCATGCTTCTCAAGCTCCCACATTTCCCATACATATCAAGAAGAGAGTTGCAGGTGAAGAGATATGAAGAGAACCCATGTCTGTTAACAAAAGCATGGACTTGCTTCCCCAATTCCAGATCAGTGAGACCTGCACATATATTGAGAACCAACCCAAGAGTCACATGGTCAATTTCGCAGGCCTCTCTCCTCATTTTACTAAAGAAGTCGAGCCCCTCTTCCCAACGACACAATTGGGTGTAACCAACCAGCATAGCATTCCAGGAGACTACATTTCTTTGGGGCATTTCATCAAAAAAATTTCTCGCCTCTTCAGTGAACCCATGCTTTGAATAACCAGACAAAATTGCAGTCCACGTTATGACATTCCTCGTATGTGCATTATCGAATACTCGTCTAGCTTCTTCGAGAAATCCACATTTTGAATACATATCAACAAGCGAGCTTGTGATATAATCATCCACGTCAAGCCCATGCCTTATAGAGAGAGCATGAATTTGGCACCCCTCTTCAATACCCAATGTACTAGCACAGGCAGAGAGTACATTAGCAAAAGTAAAATTCATAGGCTTGGCCTTTGCCCTGTGCATTTGAAAAAAAAGAACCAAGGCTTCTTCTTCTCTACCAACTTCACAACACCGCTTAATTATCACATTCCATGAAATATTATTCGGGTTTTTAATTTCTCCAAAAACGCGTTTACTTTCTTCAATTGCTCTGCACTTTCCATAAACATCAACAATGGAACTGCTCAAAACCACATTTGAAAAGAACCCCCATTTCAAGATCAGGCAATGGACTTGGCGAGCTGGTCCCAAAGCCATTAAAGAAGCACAAGCACTTAAAACACAGGCAAAAGTCACCTGATTGGGCCTTATCCCAAGTCCGTACATGCTCCAAAAATAATCAAGCACATTTTCATGAAAACCCAAATACTCAAAACCAGATATCATCGCATTCCAAGATCCCCCATTGGGCTTTCTCATTCTATCAAACACTTGGAGTGCATCAGTCATGCTTCCACATTTAGCATACATCTCGATAATTCGATTGAGTAAGAAGACAGAGGGGTTCATCTGAAACTTCAAGAGATGGATTTCCACCTTTCGACCTTCATTAATAGCCTTTCTATCGGTGCAGAGTTGGAGAAAGTGAGCATAAATGGATTGGTCCACTGGTTTATTGATAGAGAAGAGGACTCCGAGAGCTTGTTTGAGACGACCATAGGAGAGTAGAGAGAGAATGTCAGGTTTTATGATTTTGGGTTTTCCATTGAGGTTTCTGTTTCCGACATGGTCGAGAAGGCGGCCGAGGAGAGACGTTGGGGTGGTTACGGCCATGAAAGGGATTGTAGTGGTGGAGGGACTCACTTTATGTTACAGAGTTCGTTCAAAAAGCCAATGCCGATGGAGTCTTCCATGGCGTCTTCTCCCTTTAAGCATCGCTCTCAAATAATGTTTTTAAGAGATACTGAGAATTAAGGCTCTACAAGAGAGAGAGAGCTTTTAGGTTCCAGGGCTCAAGTTTCCGAGGGAATTGCCGGGCGCGGGGCAGAACGATATTTCGAATTGCGGGGTGCGCGGCGTACACCGAAATTTGGTAAAACCACGAGAAGGAAATGGAACGAAATTTCGGAACCGCTGGGAAGAAACAATAGGTTCTTCATTGTTAATGAAAAGGGAAGGAAATTTTATTCCAAAAAAATATTATTTCATCCGAATTAAAAATAATCTAGGTTTTTTCTTTCTTTTTTCTTTACTTTTTCTTGGGGAAACTTACGCATAAATCAAATAAATCATGTTTCATTTTTGATACAGAATAGAAAAGTAAGGTGCACTTGAGAAATCCAATAGAAAAGAAGTTTTCTGGAGATAAAAAACTTGATGAAGATCTCGACCTTGAGATGTATGCATATTGAAGAAAAAAAAATTGAAGTCCTAAAGATAGTGCATCTTATAACACCTTGTTTGGACTCTCTATTTTCAAGATTCTTAAAAGTTAATAGATTTGCACGATCTGCAACTGCTTTAAAATTTTAAATTTCATAGTTAAGATTGAATATGGATTTTCAAACTATTATAAGTTTTTTTTATGCTCGAACTACATCTTTCAGCAAAATTTAGAAGTATGCCTTACTTTTAACGTATGAGGTGGGCATTAATATAAATCTTAAATGTATTATGAGTCTTATAAACAATAATGAGTTGTCAGGACCATTTATTTTCAAGATTTTCAAAATAGAAGAGCTAAATACAAGTAGCTTCTATAATACTGTGATTGTAGTGCAGTTATCAAAAACATTTGGAATGGTTTCTATACTTCATTTACTGCATAGAATATATATGGCTTCGCCCGCCCACCACCCCTTCCCCCCCCCCCCCTTCCCCTCCCCCCAATCTAGTCGTCCAATTTAGATCAAGTGAGGCACTGATTGTTTGATCTAGATCTGACGCCTTAGAGTATTTTTTTAAAATTTTGTTTTTATAAATTTTATGAATATGAAATTTTGTACATATCATCATCTCAATGAAGTTAACATAAAAAATATTAAAATAATTTGTTGATAAAATATAATGGCTAAAATATCCTTTGAATGTTTCAATGGTATTTTGGTCACTTTACTTTATCGATAACGTTTGTTTTATCCAAAAATTAGTGTCAAAATAATTTGTAAAAAAATTAAAATAAAATAATATAAAGATCTGACATTGTATTGAGGCCATCTAAACCGTCCATTCAGAATGGACGGTTGGATAGGGGAAACATGTAAGTTTCATGCAACGTAGAATACTTGCCCAAAAACATTTTACACAAATAAAAGAGAACGAAATAGAATTAGCTCAGAGTATAGCTTAAAGTGATTGTAGAAAGCAAGAAGCAAGAAGCAAGGACTTTTTCTTCATTTCGTCGCAAGTTCCTCTTAAAAGAAATTTTGGTCTTGAGAAGGTTTAAAACTTCGTGGCATAAGTTTCAAGCAAAGTGTTAAAAAATCGGATCGGCATCCCAGATCGTTCACCTCAAAAACTATGTCGGATCAGTTGATTGGCGGTCGGATCTGAGAATTGGTCGAATTAGCAAGTTTCGTCTCAAAATAATTTTAAAAAATCACTATAAATTTTTAAAAATGGTGTTCTTTTAGTTACTAAAAATTAGGAGTGATGAATGTTGAGACACTGTTTTTTTGTCTATATAATTATTAATTATAATATATTAGTTTAATATTACATTAAAATAATTTAAAAATGTGAAAAAACACTTCCATATTATAAGATTAAAAAAATAATTTCCTTTATAAAGTGACATCCAAAGATCAAATATTTATTAATTCTCTTATTTAAAATATACATTTTAAAATATCTTTTTTAAATTTTTTTGTTGGGTTCTAGACCCGGATCCAAGTTAATCCAAGTCGGGTCGAGGTCCAAGTCAACCTAGACCCCGACCCGACCCATTGCCACCCCTAACCCCTACATCTAATGGCCTTTGAATATAGAATAATGATGCTTTTCTAAACCTTTATATTATTTACCATAATCTAATCATCGGGTAAGTTATATAGAATAATGATGTTTTTCTAAACCTTGGTATTATTTACCATAATCTAACCATTGGGTAAGCTCTACATTAACTCCAAATGTGAATGTTGTAATTTACCGGGCATCAATTGACCCAAAGGTACACAAAGGAGGTTGTACCTGTCATTAAGAGAATTCTTAATGGGGATAATAAAATAGGTTATGAATAGTAAAATAAGTAGATTATTTCTAGTGGCTACTTTTTCATGCCTATCACACATGTTTTTTTTCGTCTTAATTAAAGTTCAAGACGGGATTAGTCCCACATCATAGGTTTTGATAAGTGAACATATATATAAAAGGCACAGCCATCAATTGCGGCCTTTCACATGCGAGGGGCAGAGAACTCCCAAAGGAGTAATTGTGTTTGCCATGTGTAAAAGATGGTTATTATGTGGAGCCCAAAGAAGACTTTTGGAAATAATAAGTAGAGCGATAAGAGCATTGCTGTCCTAAATAAAAAATTGAGTAAATGATGACGAAATTTAGGAAATTAAGCATCGTACCTATATGTAAAATTGAGCAATGAGGAAATTAAACATGGAGGCCAAGTGTAGAAGACATTAAAAAAAATCGATGTTACTGGTTAAAATGTCTGGCAGCATAGATGTAGAAGATACGGTTGGATCTCGTTTTATTAGTTGATTTGGGACGGTTTCACCAATACCTGATTCAAATCGATGAATTGATTCGGGACGGTTCCACCAATACCTGATTCAAATCGGTGAATTGATTCGGGACGGTTCCACCAATACCCGATAATTCGGGACGGTTCCACCAATACCCGATTCAAATCAACGAATATGGTTCATATCAGCATTTTTTTAACCTTGGTTTGATTGGACCATAGCAAAAACTTTCCTCCTTTCAGTTTGCATGAATTATTCATACAACAATTATAATTCTCCAATACCACGTAATGTAACAATTTTGATAATGATTTTCACTCTATTTGACTGCGAGCTCTCTTGTTTCTTTTACCTACTTCTGGATATGTTCCCTACAAGGTTCCGTAAAAAAGAAAAGCAATCTAGAGATCAAAGAATCGAAAATTAACTCGGTCAAGGTACTTAGCCTTTGCATGAGGCAAGTTATTCGGGCAAATCCAAAAAACTCCTCTAAATCCAGCCCAAATTTAAAATAATAAACACTATATATTATAGAGATTGTATACAATGAGACCATTTATCTTTTGTAGAAGGTGGTGGTCACAATCACTAATGACCATCTGATGTGAAATTTAATAGCTTGGGTGTTGGTTTTCATGGCCATTAAAAGCTTTATGAAAGCTTGTATTGAAATATTTGATATAGTGAAATATAAACTCACTGAGAATATAGTCTTTTGTAGACCGATATAGGCAAATACCATTCGCCGATACATAGAACAAAACCGATGAGGATTAACAGGGTCATCCATTGATGAAGTCGGAGTTAGCTAGGATAGTGAGCTAAATGACTGTATGACCCTTGTATGTGATGGTAGGCCTCTAAGAACGAGGGTTAAAACCTCATCACTAAATCATCACATGGTATTTACATATAATAGTTCTATAGGGAAAGCAAGTCACCATTATGGGTAAAGCATGTAGATGTGTGGGAGATTACCCCTATGCACTGTAGAGCTATATTTGTATCATGTTTATATGACCTTAGACTCATCTTTAGAGGAGAACCTGTAATCCATAGACTACGATTGTGACTTTTTGTCTATTGACTAACTTTGGTAGTCGGTCATGGGAATTGCTATGTCAGTTTGAGAAAGCAAGTGTTGATTATTTCCACTAGATATTGGATGAGTTTTGATGAGATGTGATATATCTCTTTTAATCCATCGTCAGTTAAGGAGATAAGGTTTAATCGATGCGGAATAAAGATACTTCGCCATGTGGTGTCATAATGAGGTTAATCCTTATATATATATATACACACCATGAGGCTTGATATGCATCTATGTCTTAGAATTAAACAAATTGGGTATAATTCAGAATCGGCTTAACCTAATGTCTATATCCATCGTTAGTCAAGATATGCCTTGATCGACACCTCAAAACTCTATGTTTCGGGATTGGGTTGAGACTCTTAGAGAATCATGTTTGAGGCATCGTATCCTTCACTCTAAAGTTTCATATCACTTGGAGGTGGCTTAACCTATCGTCCATCAATAAAAACCTTTAAAGCTTTATACTCTGTATGTTACAGTGAGGATGACCCTCGATAGCCAAAATTGATATTTCTCTCTTGATAAGAGAAATTTGCTCATGGGACAAGGACCATTGGATTCGCGACTCAATGTCCTATCACCCTTAAAAGATGTGACATTGTTTGATTTATATGTAGGAAGCGGATTCATCCACAATTGACTAGTTTTGCTGATGCAATATCCAACAGAAACACAGTAATGCAATATCCAACAGAAACACAGTAATTTGAACGGACAAGATCACTCTTATCTCTAATCCATTTGAAACAAGATTTGAACCATTGTGTTCGTCTTTGTGTCCTCTTCTATCGTTTCAAATTTTATGATCAAAGGGTTTACCATCAAAAAGTGGTTGAAGAATTACAAAGATATGTTAAAACTGTGCCGCGAAAGTTTAATTAACGGGTGATAAGAGATAACCGAGTCTCTAAATTTGCTCACGTGATGTCTCTTTTGAATCTGGGATTTGTGATCTCAAATTAAAGAAAAGCAATTGAATTAAGTGATTATCATCATAGGACACTTGCACACTTATACAAATCCATTTAAAATCACATAGTTATCTAGTTAGAACAATGTGATCATCAGCATGAAGCTTAGTGCATAAAGATAATTATCAACAAGAAGATCAGCATGTGAAGATATGATTAACATATGGATAAAGATTGAAGATTTTCTTGATTATCAATTGAAGTTTGGTGGTTATCTATTGATAAAACTATATAGAACCGTCTCTTGATTAGAGAAAGGTTCGATTTTGTTGAGTTCGACTCTATTAGATTAAAATTCCATTGGATTGAATCGTTGTGTTTAACGTGAGAGATAGGAGCGCCACTATATACACAATGCGTG